ATTTACATTTGGCGTATGTTTCACAATCTGATTCAAGATAGCCAAATGGCGACCATTTTAATGTTAAAAATTCAGCGAAATCAAGCATTTCTGCCATTCCAGAACCTGATCTCAGTTATGTATGGAATATATTTAATTTATACTTGGTACATACATTAACAATAGTGGAATCTTAATGCTTGTTCTTTTATTTTTCAAATCAGATTAAAAATGACAATTGGTGGCCATTTTGTTTTAATGAATGTAGTTCCAGAGCTCTATCTCTAACAAATAGCAATCATTTTAATGTTAAGATATATCAAAATCAAGTATTTCTGCCATCCGGGACCCAGATCTTAGTTATACATGGACAGCTATTGACCATCTGATTCAAAATGGCTGTCTCATTTCACTTAACAAAACTCATGACTCATTTGGTAAATTACAAATTGATTATCTTTATAGTTTCCAAGCGCCTAACTCAAGTGATGGGCTATGGGCAGCCTCGTCAGGTGGAAGGGAACAGAAGTCTGGGAAGAAGAGAAAACAAACAGGACACAGGAGTGAGATTGGTGACAGAAAGGAGAGTAGTTCTAAAAAGCCTCAGAGACAAAGTGGTAATCGAGGAGACAAGAAGAAGCATGATGTGGCTGTGGAAGGACCCTCTAAATCAGATGTAAAGACTGCAGATGCTTCAAACAGAAGAAAATCGGGACATAAAGAAAGGGACGGACAAAAAGAGTTCACCGGTGACAGAGGTTCTAGGGGAAGGCAACGTGGCAGAGGCAGGGGATTTCAGAATGTTACAAGGAATGATGACAAGAAAACAGAAGCTAGCAAAGAAATAGCTCATACAGACAGTGTCAGTTCATAACTTTATGTTCTAGTGTAAATTCTACTTTTTTGATTAAAAACTCACTCATATATACTTAGTGTGTTTTATTGGCTAAAACATGTCATATTTTTTCTACCACGTTTGTAAGTCATTTATAGATTGTAATTCTCAGTTTTGAATTGCCTTGCAGCATAATTTAGACTCAAATTTATTCTTATACCAACTAAGTCTCTTTCAACTGAGCAAATTCCGTGGATATTGTTGGTTCTCGGTTAATTTAATCCTACCGAAAAGAAAGTGTCATTATGAATAGTAACTATAAGTGCAGCTGTAAAACAACCTGTGACCATTCTCATTAAGGCTGCCATCTTTCTATTTGCCCTGGACAGTAGATCGTGTAAAATGACTCATTAAAGCTGCCATATCTACCGTTTCTTTATTTGCCCTGGGCAGTTAGAAAATGCCCAGTGGACTTTCCCATTATGGATGCTGTCTTTTTTGTTTGCCTGAGCAGGAGATTGTGACAACTGTAAAATAGCCAATGATCTTTCAAGAGATCATGCAGCTGTAAGATAACTAATAATCTTTCCTATATAGGCTGCTGTCCCTCTATTTTCCCTAGGCAGGAAATTGTCACATCTGTAAAATGGCCAGTGGATATTCCCATTTAGGCTGTCGTCCCTCTATTTTCCCTGGCCAGAAGATTGCCACATCTGTAAAATGGCCAGTGAGCATTCTTATTAAGGCTGTCGTCCCTCTATTTTCCCTGGGCAGGAGATTGTGAAATCTGTAAAATGAGCATTGTTATTAAGGCTGTCGTCCCTCTATTTTACCAGGGCAGAAGATTGTGGCATCTGTAAAATGACCAGTTGGCATTTTTATTAAGGCTGTCGTCCCTCTATTTTCCCTGGACAGGAGATTATGGCATCTGTAAAATGGCCAGTGGATATTCCCATTAAGGCTGTTGTCCCTCTATTTTTCCTGGGCAGGAGATTGTGACATCTGTACAATGACCAGTGGGCATTCCCATTAAGGCTGTTGTCCCTCTATTTTCTCTGGGCAGAAGATTGTGACATCTGTAAAATGGCCAGTGGATATTCCCATTAAGGCCCTCGTCCCTCTATTTTCCCTGGGCAAGAGATTGTGGCATCTGTAAAATGAGCAGTGAGCATTCTTATTAAGGTTGTCATCCCTCTATTTTCCCTGGACAGGAGATTGTGACATCTGTAAAATGGCCAGTGGATATTCCCATTAAGGCTGTCGTCCCTCTATTTTACCTGGGCAAAAGATTGTGACATCTGTAAAATGAGCATTGTTATTAAGGCTGTCGTCCCTCTATTTTTTCTGGGCAGGAGATTGTGAAATCTGTAAAATGAGCATTGTTATTGAGGCTATCGCCCCTCTATTTTTTCTACCTGGGCAGGAGATTGTGACATCTGTAAAATGACCAGTGGGCATTCCCATTAAGGCTGTTGTTCCTCTATTTTCCCTGGGCAGAAGATTGTGACATCTGTAAAATGAGCATTGTTATTAAGGCTGTCGTCCCTCTATTTTTTCTGGGCAGGAGATTGTGAAATCTGTAAAATGAGCATTGTTATTGAGGCTATCGCCCCTCTATTTTTTCTACCTGGGCAGGAGATTGTGACATCTGTAAAATGACCAGTGGGCATTCCCATTAAGGCTGTTGTTCCTCTATTTTCCCTGGGCAGAAGATTGTGACATCTGTAAAATGGCCAGTGGATATTCCCATTAAGACTGTTGTCCATCTATTTTCCCTGGGCAGGAGATTGTGGCATCTGTAAAATGAGCAGTGAGCATTCTTATTAAGGTTGTCATCCCTCTATTTTCCCTGGACAGGAGATTGTGGCATCTGTAAAATGGCCAGTGGATATTCCCATTAAGGCTGTCGTCCCTCTATTTTCCCTGGGCAGGAGATTGTGGCATCTGTAAAATGGCCAGTGGATATTCTCATTAAGGCTGTCGTCCCTCTATTTTCCCTGGGCAGGAGCTTGTGGCATCTGTAAAATGACCAGTTGGCATTTTTACCTTGCCCGTACCATCAAAGATGGAAGGGAAAGGTATATTAAGGGAAAAATTTTGTCCGTTATTGTCGTTGTTGTCGTCGTCGGCGTCGTCGTCGCTAATAATTGTTATTGTGTGCATAATAACTTTACTAATTCTATTCCAAATTTTATCAAACTTGGTCACCTTATTCATCAGTATACAGTCTTCCCTGAGTTTGAACAACAGATGTCCTGTATGAAAATATCATGCAAAAATTGAGAAAATCTGATAAAATATTTTGACTGTTTCTACTTGACTGATCACTGGTGATACACATCAAAGGTCACTGATCTCAGTGGAAATATGCATTGTTGTATGTGTTCAATGAAGCAAATGATTTATCTTGTAATAATATCTTTGGTAATGTATCTCAGAATCCCATACTGGGTTTCAAAACCAACTCATGGAGAGATTGCACAGTCTGATACAAACCTACCAATAAAATCTTTACAGAAAACAAGATGTCAGAAAATCAATATAAGCACTCCTATGAACTGGGTGCCTAACTTTGATCAAGATCTGAAGCTAATAGAAAATCTGTTTAGTTCAAAGTTATCAAATCAAAAACAATACATAAAAAATACATTAAAAGCAAAACATTTCATCCACATTTTAAAAAGAAAATTATTCTAAAATATATGTATTCTGTATTTGACAAACAGTTCATTCGACAAATGAAAACTCACAGGAATATGTTTCAGCTATTAGAACAGAATGATAGTTTTTATAATACAAGTTTAAAAACGCACTTCAAAGATTGCAGTGTTTGAAGATGTAGATTCTCAGGAGGCAACAGTACTGTTGACTTCTCCCTCCACTGGACACCAACTATTTAAGTTGATTTGCATACAAAGATGAGCTTGCAACATGATAGCTATTCATAAAGGGTGTTTTTTTTACTTTTCATATAATACAGTAGTCACACAATGAGGCAGTTCATATTTGTCTCAGTGAATCATTAATTTTTGGCAGACACCTGTACAAAATACTTGGACTAAAGCCAGCTAAATTTTTCTGTTATCTTGCATGTTTTATGAATCTGTTCACATCTAAATGCAGCACTTTTTTTGCAATGAGACATTTGTTTTTATTCTAAAATATCTGAATTACTTTGAATAAAGCTGGAAATTATATTCCTTAAAATAATTAAACAAATAAGGCACCAATGTTTTTGTAAGATATTTACATCTTTTAAGGACATTCGGTAGACTGATTCCCCACTGTTGGTTCAACCCCAAAACTTGTTTGTATTCAAAATTAATTATGACAATGCATATTTATATTGAAACAAACTATGATAAAGGGAATTATTATATAACAAAGGGCAAGGTCACCAGAGTTCAACTATGTTTATTAAGGCTGCCGTCTCTTTATTTTCCCTGGACAGGAGATTGTGGCATCTGTAAAATGGCCATTGGCTATTCCCATTAAGGCTATCGCCCCTCTATTTTGCCTGGGCAGGAGATTGTGGCATCTGTAAAATGAGCAGTGAGCATTCTTATTAAGGCTGTCGTCCCTCTATTTTACCTGGACAGGAGATTGTGGCATCTGTAAAATGAGCAGTGAGCATTCTTATTAAGGCTGTCGTCCCTCTATTTTACCTGGACAGGAGATTGTGGCATCTGTAAAATGAGCAGTGAGCATTCTTATTAAGGCTGTCGTCCCTCTATTTTACCTGGACAGGAGATTGTGGCATCTGTAAAATGACCAGTGGACATTCTTATTAAGGCTGTCGTCCCTCTATTGTCCCTAGGCAGGAGATTGTAACATCTGTGAAATGACCAGTGGGTATTCTGGTTAAAACTGCCATCCCTGTATTTTCCCTGGTAGGAGAACATGCAGTTGTAAGATAATCAATGATCTTTCTCATAAAGACTGCTTTCTCTCCCTTTATTTTCCCTGGCAAGAAGATAGTGACAGCTGAAAGATTGCAAATGAGCTTTTCATTGAGGTGCCCCTGCTGTCAATCCTTAATTTGCTTCTGGTAGGAGATCATGATAGCTGTAAAATAAACAGTGAGTTTTCTCATCAGCGCTACCATCCCTCTATTTTCCCTGGGATGGGAATCGCGTGGCTGTAAAATAACCAGGTTTTCACATCAGGGCGCCCTTCCCTCTATATTTGTTCTGGGAAGGAGATCGTGACAGATGTAAAATGACCAATGATCTTTCTCATTAAAGCTTTCGTTACTATTTGCCCTGGGCAGTAGGTCGTAACTGATGTAAAAAGACCAATGGCCTTTCCCATTAAAGCTATAAACATTCCTTCTATTTGCCCCGGAGTGGAGGACATGACTTTATGGTGCAGTGAAGTAGAAATAACTTGGCCAAAAGTTGTTCTTTGTACAAAAATCATAAAAGGAAATTTACATCAACATAAATACACAATACAAACGACCGAAAATTACAACTTGCACAAACGATATCCAAAACAATCCACAACAAATAATGTACAGGGAGAAAGGTGTATGGACCTCATAGCAAACATGGAGTTATCTCGATAATTTATTAAAGCGTGAGTACATGTTGAAATACATCCATTCCCATGCTTTTAAAACACAGTACAGCTGAAAAAGAAATGGGCACTAAATTGCAAATGAATATGTATATAGTGGTTGTAGATCGTCGTACTTTGTATTGCTATCATCCTGACGTGTCTAGCAATGACCAGACAACCTACAGCTTAAACATTGAAAATAGGTAATTGCTGAATCGTACTAGTGAAGATTATATAGGAAGATTTTTTTTTTCATTCTTGTAATTAATGGTCTGCGTCCCAAATTGAGCCAAAGTGGTATGCGAGAGTCGGTGTACATATGCGATACGGGTTACTACTACTACTTGACTGGTAAAACAAACATAGGTTACTGGTATTACATGTCACTGTGTGTTAATGGGGTACACGTGACACAGTTGCATGACCTTATATCTATACACTTGTTATGCTTTTCTGAAAAATAAATAGACATTAAAATTGAAGTCACCCGGTGAGAAGAGAGTTTACTTTCCATTTGTTTGAGTCGACATT